AGGAAAGGCGGAGGAGTAAATAAATCAATCGATCCATCAAATAAACGCGCAGATCAAAACGAGACGGACGAGCGCGACGAGAGATGCACCGAGTTAGAGTGGCCTGACTGGCTAGCAGTCTCTTTTCTCTCTTTGAATCTAAACGGCAATGGAGCCTGCTCTCACTCTCACTCTTACTCCTGCTCTTGCTCCTGCTCCTGCTGCCCACAAGTTAAGATCAACTGATTGATATGTATTGATACTGATTGCTCCTCTCTTCTTCTTCTTCTTCTTCTTCTCCTTCTTTCCCCTTTCCCCCGCCCTTATCTCTCACAGCTGAAGTAAACCGAACTGAACTGAACTGAAGTAAACTGAACTGAACCCAACCGAACCGAACCGAACTGAACCGAACCGAACCGAATTTATCCATCTCCCAGCGCTCGGCAGAGAGCCAGCAGGGTATCTATCTATCTATCAGGCTTGATTACCAGTAGGTATTGAGATCTCCTTTAGTAGTTTTATTTTTTTTGGGGGGGGGGGGAGGGATGAATGAATAGGTAAGGTAGGAAGAAAGGGATTGAGATTATGATTTTTCATTTTTCATTTTCATTTTGATGGATGCTACAGTACCGGTATGGGATGGGATGGGATGGGATGGGATGGGATTGATAGGTTATGTCCCGAGTACTTGGTTCGGTTCGGCTCGGTCGGTTGGTTCCGGTTGCGGTCCCGGTTCCGGTTCCGGTCCGTTTGTGAAGTGGGGAAGCGGGGACGCGGGGGAGCGGGGAGGGTAATGTTAATGTTAATGTCAAAGGTTGGAATTTTAACTTCAACTCTGATTCCTTTTGGGGTGGAGCTTTTGATACTTGATTTTTGAGGGGGGAAAACGACGGGGGAAGGAAGGGAAGGGGGGGGAGAGGGAAAGGAAGCCAACTTTTGGTTTGGTATGTGCCTGGCTAGAGATGTGATTGGGTAGACGTCGCTTTTGTGAAGGGTGGTGAGTAGAGTAGATGAGGGGAGTAGGTGAGGTAGTAGGTGAGGTAGTAGGTGAGGTAGTAGTAGAGAAAAGGCAAATAGGTAGATAAAACAGAAAGACAGACAGACAGACAGATATATATATATATATATGCATGGATAGTAAGGGAAGTAAGTAGTGCGTATCGGCCTGCTCTGGATGGATTGCGTTACCTTACGTTGCGTTATGTTATGTTATGTTAGCAGCGCAAGGACGGAGTCTGAATCTGAATCGCAAAGTGTTAGTGTTTATGCTCTTCAAGGAGTGGGTGGTCTTTGGCTAGAGCCTCTGATACCTGAAAAGACGTTGTCGGGCTGTTGCAGGATGAAGGAAGGTCTCTAGGTATATTAGGCCATATATATTATAGTGGTAATCTCCCTGAAATACGGCTGCTACTACTACTACTATGTCTTCCCCAGCATTGATCGATAGAAGCGAAGTCATTTGCTCACTCCCCTACCTGCCACGCTTCATGTATTAGATTAAAAACAGCCCTACTTAGGAGCACCAGGCTACCTTGAACTATCTTGGCTCTCCTCCTCCTTTCTCTGACCGCCGGCTAGCTTCTTCTACTTCAACCATGGCTACTTCAGAGAAACACGCTTGCTGGAAGGCTGGCTGTCACCAACCCCATCAAAGCTCGAGGGCGGGCGCCCGTTACAAGTTCTGATCTTTCTTTTTTCCCCTCTTCCCAAGCAAGGAATCCGGTTTGAGGATTCATTTTATGGCTAGTGCACCGAGCGTGTGCTTCCAGAATTTAGGTAGGGTGTGTAGGTATCTACGGTAGCTTCTTATCCAAAGAGGGCCTGGGTAGGTAGGAGTTCCATGCTGGGACTGTTTAGGACTACATATATCACGCTTTTAATGGAAATATATATATATATATATATATATTGTCGTGCAGTGTGGGTTACAATACTGGAAACTCAAATGTGCGTTGCAGGTCTGCGTTTGTACAACATATATATATATATACATATCCCCAATGATCACCCCTCATAGTAAATCAATCCAAACCTTTCATCCTCCATATCATATCTCTTTCTATTCTCTTCCTCATCACCAGCTCGCTCTTGCAGATATTGCAACCTCCATCTACTCTACGGAAAGGCAAAATAGTAATAAGAATAATATATATACATACATATATATGTGAATATCGAAACCTCAATCCCGTAAATTCACTTCTCCCTTCTCGCTTCTCTCTTTCCCACCCACACACAAAAAAAAAATTACATCTACTCTATATGTGCCAACCCCGCCCCGTCTTCCATCAGCAGCGAGGAATGGCATGGTGGTTTAGTGGCTATACAGCCGCTGGCCGCTTCCAAGTACACCTGTTTGATAACCAACGACAATAACCTATTCAATTAGGTTTGTAGACTGGAACCTCCAATCCCATACCCCATGGATTCGAGCTTCCAGTTGAGTTTTGCCAAAATTCTGTACAATTTTTTTCGTTTCCCTTTCTTTTTGTATTTTTGTATTTTTGTTTTTTTGTTTTTTTGTTTGGGGAGGGTGAAATTCTTTTATATTCTGTCTGATACGTAGGTGGTGGGAGTTGGTTGACCTGACAACAAACAACTATAGCCAAACATATGTATCGGTACGTTCTCCATGCGGCAAGGCTTTCGTTTAGTTACCTACAGCCCTGACACTTTTTTTTCCTCCTTTTTTTCTCTCTCTTCTTCACAATCGGGTCTTTCTACATAACATCGTAATAAGCTGTCAGTAAGGATATAAATAAGTAGGTAGGTTTGTAAGTGGTACGTACGTACGTAACAATGCGCCCAATTAGAGAGGAAGGATTGAGATTCGTACCTATAATGCTTGGGTACTTAAGGTACTTTTACTCTTATGCCTAGCGACGGCCAGTTATTTGTATGGATTCAATACTGTACATACAATAGGTACAATACCGCCAATTCCAATTCCAAAACCAGCCAGCCCAGCTCATCCAGCCCATCCATCCCAACTCTTGAACTGCAGCCCTCCCTCCCTTTCTTCATACAAACAAGCATACAACTACAAACACAAACACACACAAACACACACACATACAATCACAAACAAAATCACAAACACTCACAAGCACACACAAGCACACACAAGCCCAAGCAAGCACACCATACTACAAACCCCCATATCTTAACCCCGTACAGTGAGTGCAACTCCGCCCGTCTCACCCATAGAGAAGAAAGTCCAGGAATAAGTGCAATCGGGGATACACACCACACCATACCATACCATACCATACCACACCACCCAGCACCCGCCACCGTCACCCGCCATGACCACCATCACCACCACCACCAGCAAACCCCCCTCCCCCATAAGGAGACCCTACTCCCTCCTGCTATTATATTCGCGAGAGGAGGATAGATAGATAGATAGATAGATAGATGGAGGGAGGAAGTAAAAGATTTCATTTCCCGCGCACACACACACACACACACACACACACACACATACATACATACATATATATAAAGACAAAGAAAGGCCCCCGGGAACAG